TTTCCACACAGACATCACTAGAGACATAGCAATGCTCTCCTCAAACTAACTGCATCATGGCATCACAAGGCCTTTCAGCAAAATAGGCATTATCTCATTTTCCTACAGCAAACTTTGGCCAAAGCGAAAGGCAGCTGCAAGAAGTGAGTGCCCTTCTGCACAGAAGGATGGGCCATGCTGCAGGCACTGGGGCATAAAGCAGGCCAGCAAAGCAGCTCAGTGGTCAGTTTTGTTGATGTCCTTCCTGTGCTTGTGCTTTGGGACACCAAGATGCAAACACCACAGCTTCCTGCCAGCTCCAATGGTGCTGCTCTGTGGGTTTGAGGATGGGCAGAGCAGCCAAGCGGGGAGAATGGCTCAATTTACTGCTAGAGTAAACAGATTTTAACTTCTCTGAGCTCTCCAGGGCTCGCACCAGAGAGTACTGCAGCAGTATTATTTGTGTGTCAATATTTTCTTGCCCTCAAGAGAAAGGTACTCAGGAAAGCAGCCTGCCCGCTGCACCCAACAGGCTGCCAGCAGTGGGCTGGTTAGGCTGGGCTTTTTATTCCTCTGGGGGAAGAAAAATTTACAAATTTGCCTGAGAGTAAAAATACTAACGAAAACTGAAGCTTGACAGCACTGAATGCAAGAGATAACATCTTTAAATGGGCACAGGCAAAAGCCTGTGCCACAGCAAGCGTGCTCAGCACCCAGTCAGCTTCCTGCTGCTGGTCTGAGAGCAGGAATGGTAAGGAGTCAATAACATAGCACCTTACAGTCTGAATCTGATGTGTTAAAGGTGATGATCTCCAAAGAAACAGCCTGAAAACATAATATACAGGGGCACAAAGTTTTCAGAACCTGGCTGTATTTTAAAGGGTGCAATCAGCCAGGAAACCATACATCAGAGAAAAACATGGAAAAGAACCCAAACCTAACAGCTATCTTCCAGAGAAGAGTTGTGGCACTGAGGTCTGAGAGATGTAGTCATGAGGAAATGCTATTCAAATAGACAGAACAGTTGCTACCTTATAAAAAGCAGAGCCCTCGACTCCTTCTGCAGCCCCAGCTGTAGCCAGGGACTCCCAAGGGACAGAGGGAGGGACGGGGACAGCCAGGTGAGATGCACAACCAGAAGCCACATTCACTGCCACATACTGAGCAGAAAACTAGGGCCTGGCCCTGGACAGACTGAGCTGACTCTGCTATCATTATTTTTAGGACTGGAATACTTTTGTGCACAAGAATCTTGCCATACTCCATAGGGAAGGTAGCAGTGGCAGCTCCAGACACCTGCAGGAATCTGGGTTAACACTGTATGATTCATAAACACACCTGGATAAATTTAGGCTTGGGCCTATCATTTCATTTTTTTCATTCCATTGTTTCAGCTGAGTTTCAGGAAGGATGATCCTGCCTTCACAAGAGTCTTCAAGCAGCTCCCTCTCTTCAAAACTGCAAAAAAACAAGCCCAGGTGAGGGATATTCACAGTAGCTGAGGCCAAAGGCTCCTATAAAAGGGGAATGAGTCTCCTCGTGCTGAATTCACAAATGCAGGAGCAGTCTCTGTTCTCTCTCTCCTTTTTCTTAAATGCCACCACTCTTCTTTCCCAGATTCAGAGCAGTCCTCTCTGTGATAGCAATACCTCACACATACGGGACTTCAGCCTTCAGCAACAAGGACAAAATCCTTGGTTTCCTAAGGATCCAAGACTCGTGGTGTCACACTGTGAACGTAACCATGTCAGCCTATGCAAATACGTGTTGCTTTGAAACCACTGGGCACTGCAGCAGAGCCTCTATCCATGGGATGCTCAAAATTTGACCAAACAAGATTCCACGCAACCTGACCTGACTTTGCAGTTAGCTCTATTTAGACTGGGCAGTGGGCCAGGTGACCTCCAGAGGGCCCATCCAACCTGAATTACTCTGCAATTCTGCAATTACTGTCAATCAGCTCTGAGAGAAGGAGTGGTATTGTAGAGACAAGAAGCTCCTACAGGCGTGAGACAGAAGACTGCTTTCCTAGGTCCATGCTGAAGAGGTTGCTGTGTAATTAACCTTTCACTAGAGACTAGCAAGTTCATAAAGAGTCCAGACAGGGAGGAGAAGGGTGTACACCTGCCCTAACAAACTGCAATGTCTTCAGAGCGAGCAGCAAGCACACTGCTGCCTCCCAGCCACAGTGGATGCAGATCACCATGCAGTGAGGGATCAGTGCTATAGCTACGTTCAGCAACTCCCATGTGTGGACATCTCTTGAAGGAGCTTCAAACACCTAAGCCCTGGGAAGAGGGAGAATTTAGCAAATATGCATGCCCTTCCCAGGCACACATCTATCTCCTTTTGCACAGCTGCTCAAGCAGGGTGGGGGCTGCTGTTTTTGGTGCTTAGCTGTCTTTCTTGCTTCTGAGAAGAACTGGAATTGCCTGCCTTTCTCCTTCAACTAGTTCTACTTCTCAGATGGCTGAAGAGCAGCAAAGCCTTCTCCTTGCAAGTGAGAGTTTACGTTGGAAACAAACATTCGTCTATCTATAAAAACTCTGGCAGCCCTCCAGGCAACAGCTCTTGCTTACCCAAGCTCACAGTGGAGCTTGCTGAAGCCAGACTCTCAGCCATGCAGGACATGCTGAAAGGCAGAAATTCAGGGACTTTGCAAGCAGAAGCTATTGCTGAAAGGCATAAAGCCTTTGAGACACTTTGTCAGTGCCAAGTGTGAGGGGTAGGGAGCTTAAAACACAGCTAGAAATGATAGGCTACTGCAGCTTTCAGTACATAATGCATAGGGCACTGCCATCTCCTGGAAGCCTGCAGTGATGTGCCAGCATGTAACATAGCCCATCTGACCCCAGAGAGAGCAGGCCATCACTGGTGTAAACAGAAGCCCTGTTTTTGGAAAAGCAAAAGCCCAGAGTCAGCTCTGTTTACTTTAGATGTTTTCCTGTCCTCACACCACTGCATCTCTGGGCTTTCAGCTATAATTCTAGCACTAAGCCCAGGCTGAGCCAGAAGCAGGAGAACCTCTCCATCAACAGACTAAATACTCCTGAGAGGAGAATGAGAGCACCAGCACCGAGTTTACGTTACAAGATGCTTTCCAGCCCTGCTCTGGGCTGTTTCTTTCCCTGTGCCCTTACGCAGACTCAGTCTCAGTCCAGACACCGTAGCCCTTCCTTTCCCACAGTACGCCTTCCCCAGAAGAGAACTCAAGCCATCAGTCCTCCATTGAGCCTGGCAGCTCCTTCCCAGCCACAGGAAAACTGCAGCTCTTGGCTTGTCATTGTATGCAGCCATAACCCAAAGGTTAATTTTGAACAAAGCACCCAATTCTTCCTCCCCCACAACAAAAATTCATCAGATGAGGGTTCTTCCAGCCCTAAGTTTTTCCTGACAGCCCCTTTCCAGCCACTCTCCACCTGCAGCTCCCAGCCCCAACCACAGCCATGCCCTGGGGGTGGCCCACCGGTCTGGTCCAGAGAAGTTGGAGCAAAGAGTTTTGTGCAGCCTATAGAAGAGAAACTCAGAGGGAGTTGATCACAGTCTCCTGGTGCCTAAAAATTAGTTCCAGAGAAGATGGAGGTATTCTCTTCAAAATGATTCATGGTGTCAGGACAAGAGGCAATGGGCCCAAGCTGCTTCAGGGGCAACTCTGGTATAAAGAATGTTATGTTCTGTGAAAACTACAAAGCGCTGAAGATTGTTGGGTGAAGAAGAGTTTGGTCTCCCCTACTAGAAAGACTTGGTTGGACATGGTTTTGGATAACCTAGTCCAAGATTCTGCTTTCAACAGGTGAGACCCAATGTGCCCTAGTTCATTTCCACCCTAGTTCTTCTGTGATCCTGTGAAGTCACTGCCTAACAGGATCTTACCATCTTAAAAGGGGCTGGGAGATGCTACAGAACAACCTCCAACCGAAGCTCTAGCCCTCTCTTCCCAGACCCCTGGTTTAGTAAGACAAAACTGCAAGTTTCATGCAGACTAGTGATGAAATTTAAAATTGTAGTATCAGGTTAAGAACATAGGAATATCCTACTGGCCAGAACCTGAGCCTTTCAAATAGCCAGTTCATACATCTTCCTTTGATACAGCCAATTTTGCGTCCATTACTGCTCATCAGACAAATACACACAATACTCTATATGTACTCAACAGTTGAGATAACCACACTTGAAGAACACTTTGTGTGAAGCTTACAGTGCTTCACAGGATCAATAGCATGGCTTGTCCACTACCACCATGCAAACCTGCAAGCTGCTACACACGCTCCATTAGATACAGATTGAGGAAAAATTTAGATTAGATGTAAGTGGGAAGTTTTTCACACAGACTGCCCAGAAAGGCTGTGTATGTCCCATCCCTGGAGGTGTTTAAGACCAGGTTGGATGGGCCCTGGGCAGCTGGATCTGAGATTCAATCTAGCAGTTGGCAACGCTGTCAGCAGCAGGGGGACTTGGAACTAAATGGTCTTTGAGCTTCCTTCCAACCCAAGCCATCCTACGATTCATCCAAACCAGAGAAATCAGAATTTGCCATCATGGAGCAGATATTGAAAACTTGAAGAATGTTTGCTTCGAGTATTTACTTGACTTCTTATTCATTCCACTAATAAGAAACTACTGTTGAAAACTAGTAAACTGAGAGCAAACTAAATAGTTATTTATCAGGAATGGGGCAAGCTCAGCTGAGCCCACACTAGGCTGCAGATGAACATCCCCAAGTTCCCTTCCATGAGATGCCTTCCTCCAAGCTAAACCACGCAATAGCACCAGGAGAGGTTCTGCAGTTCCCAACCTGTGCACGTGAGGCCAAACTTGAGCTGGTCGCCATTAAGCACTAGTTCCTCTTTCCACCTCAAGATGTCTCGAGCAGAGAATTTCCCTCTCTGTCAGATGAGCACTGCAGAAATTGTAAAGGTGGCTCATGCTAATAGTTCACTCTGAGCCGTCATATCCACCTATCAAACACCCATGCCATCTGGGACTTCTGCAAGATTAAAAAAGAGAGACAAACAAGAGGATTATTAAAAATTTAACTATATACCATATTTATTATCAATCCACAGGATAATCTGATTGCTACATGAGCTCATAAAAGCTATTTCACCTTTACAAAATTAAAAAAAAATGTGCCACAAGGATGTAATAACTGCTGATAACCAAGGATTGAATCTTAAAATTATAAATTTGCTGTAGAAAAGATTAAAAAAAATTATATTCACTTTAGAATTTTATTTTGAATAAAATATTCCCCTGTATAAAAAATAAAAAAGCTTGCTCTGGTTAGAATTAGAGTATTCTTTTTTTTAAATCTGGGAATTTGCATAACATCTCTGTAATAGTTTTTTTTTTTTCCCCTATTGTACCACGCGGCATTCAAGCATAGCAGATTAGAAAACAAACACGAGAAGAGAAAAGCAGTCTTAAAATGTATGAAATCCACAAGGAAAGTTTTATCTTTCTTTCCTTTCCACTATTCTTTCGAGACACTTTAGCAAGAATAGCCTTGGAAAAGAATACAGGTGGGGAGGGACCTTCAATGTGCCATTAAGTAGAGCAAGGTAATAAAAGGCCTTTTGTAAGTGCTTTCTTAATAAGGTGCAGAAGCAGACTGCAACGTTGCTAGTACTGCACTATGTACAATATTCACAATAGATTTTTTCTTATTTAAAAATATTCCAGCTAGTTCACATTTTCTCTTCCATTCTGAGGCTTTCAGTTCCATCACGGCCTTGACAGCAATAAGCGCAGCAGCACCACTTCCCTTGTGGTCAGTTGGTCCTCTTATGAAACACTGGAACCTGCAAGTGGGCCAAAGTTCTTGTTTTATTTTCCTACGTAGCAACCCTGCAAGTCCACCTTGGGTTCAGATGTACACACTGACGGCTGGAGTCCTGAGTTAAAAACACTCCGGCACTGGAGTCAGACACAGCAATGTTTTATATTGCCAAGGCTTTCTTTACCTTAGATTTGTCTAATGTGCGTCAAGGGATGAACCTCTCCTAGAGAAACGTAAAATACAAAACCAAACAAAACAAAGCTAAAAAACACACTGTCACAGCTTAGCAGCTCTTGACTCTTGACTGGGTGATGTCTGACGTTTTCTTGATGACGCTAGCCCGTGTCTCGCGGTCTGGCCGGCTGCTGCTAGTGGAGGCTGTGGACATTACTTGTGGCAGAGGGATGTCTGGGAAAGGCGGCCAGGAGCTGTTGTAAGGCAGCGGGCAGCTTTCTTCTTTGATGGTGACCTGGAGGTCAGGCTTGTTGGCTACAAAAGTAGCCATGCTGGGAAGCATATGAGAAGTGTTCCGCATTCCCAGATTGCTGAGATATTGTTTGCCTTCGATGTTTTTCTTCTGCCAATGAAGTCGTCCCTATGAAGGGGAAGGAAGAAGAAGGAAAGACTGCATGAGTGAACACACTTTGCCAACGGCTCCCAGCAGTAAGATAAAGACAGAAATATGCACAAATCGCACAGGAGTTACCCCATCTCTAAAAGCCTGAGTCACCAGCAACTGCCTTTGAATATCTTTGCTTTCTGTCAGCTCTCCCTGTTAAGTCCTGTGTCTTAATCCTGGTGGCTCTCCAGCGCTCAAGACACTCTGCCCATTCTTCTCATGGAAAACAAAGACCTTACACACGGTATGCCATCGGCAGAATTGGACACAGGTGACCTAAAACTCAAGAGCTTCAAATGGAAGTCTCCTCCATTACTGGGGAGGGCTGGCACAGAGACTCAAAAGCACTGTCATCAAAGGTAAGGCTGCAAGGAAAGCCCCTTGGCAGCATGTCCACCCATCACAGGGATGAAGTCTGATAAGGAAACATGAGCATCCTGTCCTTTCATCATCACACATGCTGCAGTGGCACTGCAAAGGAGGGTCCCCACTGGGTTTGGGGAGATGGGGAACACCCACCTCAGCCACCACTGGTGCAGCAGTTGGGGCATTTCCACACTTTTCTCTCTTCCTTGTAACACAAATTCTCACAGGTAGCTTGTTTTCCACCTGCTCATGGAAGTAGGAACAGTCCTCTGGTACACAGCAGAGGAATGACACTATTATAACCACACAGACAGAAGGTAGCTCTTGCTGTGTGCTAACTCAGTCTTGCCTGCTTTTGACCTCACACACCACAAACATTGAAGTTGTATTTCCATCACACGTGTAAGCGTTTCCTCCAATTGTATGAGTTCACATGCCATTTAAGGAAAACAAAGCAACTGTGCATCAGCTGAGACAAAATACTCACTACCCAGCAATGTCAATGCAGCGTACACATGCACGCGTGCGCAAGACAAGGTTCAATAGTTTGCTCCATACTGACAAACCAGCTGACACTGCTGATGGCTCTGCAGAGTATTTCCTCATGAAAATCAATTTCCTTGTAGCTTCAACAGATGAGGAAGAATGAACTTGCAGAGATATCTGTTCTGCTTGAAAATCATCCCAACATTTGTCTCCCCTGGAGCTTCCTACTTTTTCTTTCTCCCTCAGCTACTAAGCATGAATGCTCCACTAGCACACAGTTGCAAACGAAGAAGTGGAAGGAATACCTCAGGTCGCTGTTTTGAAGTCTTGCTCCAAAGCATTAAAAATCCAGAAAACACTTACCTCTGCATTTTCTTCATCGCTTGGAACACTGTCGGTCGTTTCACTTTCTGTCAAATAAAACAGAAGCAAAAATGAAACCCAAGTAATTTTATCTGCAGTAACAAAATCCAGCTCAAGAGGCATGATCCACTTCATACAAGTACAAGCAAACAGAGCCAAGCCAAACAAGCAGAAAAGAATAGTAAACCACAAACCCCCTCTAAAGTAATCTAAAGGCCAGACAACACAGCATCATTGGACTATGGAGTAAATTCATATGGTTATCACAGTTAATACGGATACACTCTGAAATAGACTGCAACAGAGGTGGAAGAAGCAGGTCAATGTTACTGCTCACACTTCTGGGAAGAGAGAGACTCCTGCCGGTGGGGAATGCCCCCTCTTCCCCTTTTTGGCTCTTGGTAGCTTGAGCCCAGTTATGAGCAAAGTCCTGTGCAAATCCTTATTTTTATCTCCCTGCAAATCATCAACAGCACCACCCAAGAGGAGATAAGTGCGGTTTTGTTTCATAAACTGTTATCTCAGTTTGCCACCTCAAGACTTCATTATCAGTTCTTGCACCTTATTACTGCTGTTACACTTTGCTCTTGTTTCAGTTTTGCCCTGCCTCCCACTTTATTCCTCATCCTCATCCAACACTCCAGCACAGAGAAGTGGGCAGCCCCAGCACCTCCCATTTCCAAACAGAGCACAGAGACACACACACACCAGCTGCCACTCCTCTGCACGGGGCGGGGGGGTCAGGGGAGGACAGGACCGCAGCTCCAGGAAGATGCCCACCCACCTGCAGCTCAGCCCTTGCTTGCAGAAGAGCCCCACTGTATTTTCAAGCCCTCTAGGTGGCCCTGCTAGAGCAGGGGTAGGACCACATGATCTCCCTGCACGTCTCCAGACAGACTGGCAACTCCCTGCTCTTCCCCAGAAGCTCAGCTAAGGACCAGGTTTAGGCAAAGAGCCATTGCCTCATGGGCTCAGTTGTTCTTTCAGATGCAAGGATCTAAACTGCACTCAAAGTCCTTCTGAAATAAGTAAGCAGGCAGCTCAGCTGCTAAACACCGTTAACTTCCACAGCTGGCACCTTTCCTACTCCAGAGTCCCAGCCACAACATGCAGCAAGGCAGAGGATCTAACTGTGAAGCCCTATGAAGTTAACACTCTGCAGGGCTCCTCATTCACTGGCACAGGTATAGAGAGATGTGACAACATGACAAAGTTGGCTAATTAAGCCAGACTAGGAGGGAGGGAAAGAGGAAGGAGAGGCAGAAAGTAATCTATACAAAAGGAGAAATGGTCCCAGAGACAGTCAATAGGAGGAATCCACACAGAGACAAGAAACACATATTCCTTGACATGAAGAAGCATGTGGCAACAGAAAATAGTGATGTAGATAAAAAGGAATCCATCCTTGATGTCTATACATAACAAGATGCTGAGCAAGAGAGAGCACTATAGTTAGGAAAAGCCATGGAAGCCATTCCAGTATGGAAAGTTAAAGAGGTCATTTGAATCAGGAAGGTTATTTGAATCAGTGTCAAGATGAGGTTGACAAGAACAGCCTTGGTACTAAAAAAAATGGATTTCATAGACGTCAATGGAAATATGAGGAAACTCATAAGGGCCAGAAATATCATTTGCCTGTGTAACCTCAGAAAGGAACTGGAGGTGTTTTTGAAATAAAGCAGATTTATGTAGGACAGCTGATACCTACTACTTTTTTTGTTGTTATTTCAGAAGAGCTAAACTATGCGCTCCTGCGCAGCTGTTATGGCCATCCTCTTTCCTGCCACTCAGTGGTAGCATCTGACAGAATAGGCAACTGCACTCAGCCGAGCCACAAGGGCAGGTTTAGGGCTCCACATCTATATGATTTTGTGTGTAACAAGATAAAGCTAGAAACATCACGAGAATGACCCATAAATGTCATTCTCATGATGTCAAGCGCTGTGGTGAAAAAAGTTCAATTTTTTTCTCATACCCAGTTGGACCAAGTTCTGTTGCTTCAATTTCTGCCTTTTACTTATGCACCTGCGTGAAAGAGCCTCACTCAACCTTCTCTACAACACTCCAGATTGAACAAGTCCTGTCCCTCAGCATCTCCTCACAGAGAATGAGTGCTTCAACCCCTCATCACCTTGGCAGCCTTTTCCTACATTTGCTCCTGTTTGTGTCTTTCTTCGACCAGGGACTCAAAACTGGACCCAGTACACTGGAAGCAGTGTGACTTAGCATTGAGTAGAGGGAGATGATCACTTGCCTAGATCTACTAGCCATAATCCTGCAGGCTGTGGCTTTCTCTGCAGCCAGGGCACTTTGCTGGCTCATGTCATAGAATCACAGAATCACAAGGTTGGAAAGGACCCACAGGATCATCCAGTCCAACTGTTCTCCCATCACCCTTACTACCACAAGCTACTAAATCATATCTTGTAGCTCCTCATCCAGACACCTCCTGAACACTGCCAGGGACGGTGACTCCACCACCTCCCTGGGCAACCCATTCCAGTGCCTGACCCCTCTCACTACCATCCTCTTTCTGCAGAGCTACTCCGGATCCCACTCGCCGAAGACTGAATCACTGCAAAGGGTTCTTTCTTCCCAGGCACGGGACTTTGCATCTGTCCTTGCTGAACTGGTTGAAATTGGTGATCTCAAAGGCCTTTTCCAACCTAGATGATTTTATGATTTTGCTGACATTGTAAGATTCCTGTTGGCCCATTCCTGCTGCTTCTCTAGGTCTCTCTGGATGGTGGCCCTGCCTTCAGGCTTATTGATGGTGTCCTCTATTTGGTGTCTACTTTAAATTTTGCAAGCATGCACTCCGCCACCTCTTCTGCTCACTGATGAAGGTATTAAAAAGGACTGGTGACTTCTGTCTGCATTCCAAGAGCTTAGATCCTTTAGCTGAGATTAAAAAAAAGCATCATTTTTGCTTTTGCACAGCCAGGAACAGTTTTGCAAGAAACATTTGGAACAAGGACAAATGTTTCAAAGGCCCAGTCTCCCACTACTAGTAAATTAAAGCACCCCTCCCTATGCTTCGCAAAGCCCTTTTAAATGCTCTGACCATTACAGACTAAACACATGGGGAAGCGTGACCATATATCACCATTTGAGACTAATGTTGGAGGCTATTCAACAGAATATCATAATATTCACCCAGACCCAAAGATAAAAAATCCTACATACATATTTTATAAAAATGCATCTGGAAGTAATTCAGCTTAATGAGTCAAAGGCAAAACCATGTATAAAATAATAAATTGCAGTGGGAACAATTAATTCTCAAGTTTGCCTAAAAAGATGACATTTCTGTTTTTGCCTCTGTCTCCTGAAGCTTGCAAGTTAGCAACACATTAAAAAAGGAAGGACAGGTTGGATATGAAACTTCTTCTACTTTCAAACGTGGTTTTGCCCTGTTTCCTACAAAAAAAAGGCTTGTATGACTGCAGGAACTCTATGATGTGCCCATGTGTACATTTGTTTGTTCTCCCCTAACAGCTTCTGAACATATTGTCAGCCTTGGATAAGGGATAAATAAGGGCCAAGACTCTTAACTTCCTACCAATTTTATGAAAATAAGGAGCCCGATAACAACAAGAAACCATTAGCACCCTGACTCAGGGGAAAGCTTGTTGTCTCTCCCTTTTTTAGATATCAGAGAATCCAGATGGGAGACAGACGTTGGAAACCAGACTTCCACAGACCCCTTCTTATCAGTCACTACATGGCTGCTCTGGTCTGCAGACTATTTGTAACAAGACATATCCACGCCCTCCACGGGCCTTCAGATTCACATTTGCACTACATATCATTAATGCAGCCTTTAGCACTCTGTATCCATTATGGTAAGCACCATGGAAACATACAGCAGATTACGACCTTTTATCTTTAAAAGATCAGGCTGCCAGGGGGGCATAATATATTTGCAGTGTATCACTTGTACCACTGAAAATGTCCCTCTAATAAAAGATGAAAAGGCCTCTCTACGTTACATCCAAAAAGGTTCTTTTTCCATTAGTCACAGGCTAAAAACTGCAGCTTATATTTCCATCCTCAGCTCCGCTGAGCTGTTTCCCAACGTAAAATTAATATACAGGACCATGAGTTTTTGAGTTAAAAATACAGAAGCCAGCAGAACAGACATTACTGAATCTGTATCTGTGCCAGCTGCCCTTAAAGAGCCTGCTATTCTCCAGAAACCCCTGCCTCTGGGCCTGGCACTCCCTAGCAAGTTCAGTGTCTTCTGAGCATTTCTTAAAAAGAACATAAAGAAACATGAGGATGCTTACCTGCATAGGACGAGACAGGGGAGATCTGTAGGGGGTACAACTGGCTCATGCTGAGAGGCTGTTCATCACTTTCTGTTGTCACCTCTACCACCTGGCAAACATCTGGAGGATTGGCAACTATCACCTGCTCCTCGCTGCTGCCATCAAGGTGCGGCTGTCCTACAACTTGGAGTTAGAACAGAAAAATCCATTACTCATAATATGTCAACTCTGCTGAACCTCTAAGAGCATGTTCCAAGGACAAGCTTGGTATTTGACTGAGCTGGAATCTTTAACACAGTCTCAGCACCTTCTTCCACATCCATCACCTGCTTTCAATGGGACTTCTACAGGAAAACTGTGTGATTTATTCAATTTCCCCCATCTTCAAAGAAATTTCTTTTCCACTTGTGACAACTGAGAATGCCTAACTCTTTCCTGGCTCTCACTCAAAATGCCCATGAGCCCACCCCAAAACACAAGCTAACCTGATGCTTTCCTAGGGAACACCAAAGCCACAATCTTTCCTCACCAGGACATACAGACCATGGCAATCTCTCTTAATCTGGGAAAGCATCCTCACCTAGCAAACTGGCAACATCCCATTGCATCTAGATACTTTCACATTCATTATGCACCATGAGAGCAAATAAGCCAGAACTAGTACACAAAAAAAACTGGCCTCACAGTCATGTAAAATTTGTGAAAAGCCAATTAATAAGTGACACGTGCAAAAAAATATTTCTTCAATTAGAGGCTTATTCTCACTGATACTTGCAATGTCAGAGATGGCATGCAGAAAATCATAGCTGAACCTGTACTCTGTAATCCCTGTGGTCCATGACTGACAGCTACTGTCTAGTTAGTTATTGGCATGTTTTTCCTATCCCTCCCCCCCAGGAAACTAACATTTAATTCTAAAGTAACATTTTTATTTCTACAAAGTAAAGGTACCATGGATGCTTTGCAAGCACCCCAAAGCACTCTGCAGACACTAGCTGTGCTACAGAACACCCTTCTGAAATGGAGGAATAAACTTAGAAGTCACTCAGCAAAGAAGTACAGAGGTAAAAGCCAAAATCTCAGTTCTCTGGAGCTGCTAGAGACAATTCCCCATCTTGTACAACTCCCCTTTTGGTCCCACCAATAGGAACACATGACAAGTGCATTAATCTGGCACTGAGCAAAAAGCCACTAGCCAGATCAGAACAGCCAGCAGATGAGGAGCCACCTCAGGGAATGGCTATCCTGAATCCACAGCTGTCTGAGAGAAAGGGAAAGACTATCCATACTCTTTCACTGCACCATAACGCATCAAAAGGAACAATTTTTCATGCAGGCAAATTCCTACCAGTTTCAATAACAGTTTGGGAAGATTTTATGCCAGAGGAACTGGTCCAGATTTACTTGCATGCTGTGAACTGCTGTTAGTCTGAAACACACTATCCAGCAATAAATGCCTATTTTAAGTTTTAGGCAGCAAGTTATGACCTTTCAGGCACCAGCACCCCATTCCACTTGCCAACGTCATTCCAGAAGTGGCCAAAACTGAATGTTTCAAGGAACAGTCACAGTTAATTCACCAAGCTTATGGTACTGAATTATTAGAAATTCAGACAGCTTTTTTTTTTTTCCACTTTTTTTTTTTTTTTTACCAGAATCCATGATGAAGAAAAATGTAGTAAATGAAGCACAGCACATCTTGAAATTCTTCAGTTAAGTGACCTAAGCACTCTGATTATTAATTTATAAAGGACAGATGTGTCTTTTCTTGGATGAACTCAAATAAATATGCATGAATGCACAATCCACTCCTGTCTTCTATCTTTTGGGCACAACATTTTCAAAAAGAAAAGTGACAGGGTTTTCTCCCAGGGAAAAGCTTAGTGAAGTGCCAGCCAGCTACTACAAACTCCCTGAACCTGGCTATGCAGTCTGTGAGACAATTCCAACGTACAAAAGATGATATACATATCAGATAGCCTTTTTTTTTTTTTTTTTTTTTTTCAGTTGGATCACTACAATTATTACCATTTGGTTCCTGATATTTTGTTTTGAAAACATCTGCTTTACATTGGGGTGCTGGGGGTCAGGAACACACACACACAGAGTTAATTTTTATCCACAAGAAGCCAGTATTGTGCAACCTTTTCAGGATAAGAGCAGGCCATCTGCAGTGCTTTATCTTTCTCCTCAATACCTGGAGAATTCTTACCCACCCCAAGAGATAAGTTTAGTGCAGCAAAACATACTGCTTATTTGGGCAATATGCCACCACTCTCCTTTGAGCTGCACGTACATCAGAAACAGTGCAGGTGCTGTTTGTCTTTTCTCCCCTCCAGCTGACTTCTGTCCTTCCTGCAGAATATATCTATTTTACCCTTTCTCCCCTGTTTATATTAAATACTGGCTTGGAGTACTAAATAAGGACTTCTCTCTTCAGTTTGGATAAGCAGCACACTTGCCTAGCCTTTAATTAAACAATGTTGGATCACAGTTATCCACCCAAACCTTGCTGTCATACCCCTGGAAATGGATACAGGGCCTATCCGTAAGAGCAAAGGGAAAAAACAAAAGGCTAACTGGAGATCTCCCTTGTGAACTCAAAGAAAAACGAAAGCCCTTCAGGGGCCATTCAGCTCTGCTCCTCTCTTGGTTTCTATGTTAGACCTTTCAGAAATTCTTATATCCCTCTATGGGTCCTGTTCTGTGTCCTGTTCTGTAAATCACTGAGATCTTCCAAGATGCAACATGGATTCACCTCCTTCTAAAATCGATCAGGAGTTCAGGATACGCTGCACTATAGAAAAATGAGCTGTTCCAGTAAAATGACTCTCTTGTATGTTTGTGGATTTGGGGAACACCAGGTACATTGCAAAGGCTGCTGTTAATTGATCTCTGTTTAACTTGAAGGTTTTACAACAAAAAACTGAAGTGTAGGAAGCTTCCTCCTCAGGGCTGCATATCAGCCTTGCTGTATTTCAGATCTGGATTTGAGTCAGTCAGTATAAATAATTCGTTTTAGTGTAAGGCCTTCAAGTTATAAAGCTCTCTGTAACAGTATGAACAAATTCATGTCCTAAAACTCTTAGAAAGAAAGAAATGATTAAATATCCTGTCATGAAAAGAAAAAAAAAACAAACTCATGAACTGCTCAACCATGGAAGTGTTTGTGGGAATGACTTCACACAGAGCCCTGTGATGTAAAAAAATGGCAGAAAAGAATAGTCAGTGTGTGCAATTACTGCCATCTTCACAAAACGAAGATCAACATATTTTTCAAGCACTTTTTTCTTGTATGTAGAACTCCACAGAAAATAGTATATGGGTCACATTTCTAGGAGCCCTCACTGCAGTGACAACCTCAGCCCCAAAAGAGCTGTCAAAACCAGCCCAGTTATTCTACCAAGGGCCAATCATACACATTCTGAGATGACATCTAATTCCTAAGTACCTGTTTCTAAACACTGACTTCACTGATCTTTTTCTTAGCTCTCTAACGTTAAGAATTAACCCAATGTTAAAAAAAAACAAACAAACAAGTTCTTCTATTTCATCTTTTTGTTTAAACTCACAAACAAAATGCAATCCTGTATAAAACTGCTTTTTTAAGGAAAGGGAAATCATCTTCCAGCTTCAGTATAACCTGCCATGGACTGTGAGTAGCATCTCCTTACAGCAGAGAGCTACACCGTGCAGAAAGCTGATGTCAGGGAAAGCCACCTGAAAAAGTTCCTCTGTGCTTTGCTCTCAGAGAAACAGGCATGCTGCAGTAGCACTGCTCAGCATCACTGCAGAGTGGTGGGGCGGACCTGCAGGCAGGACCTTGTGCAGCTTAGGTTAACAAAAAATACATAGACACAATTATACCTGGGTTCTTCTCTGACGTGCACAGTGCTGCGGAAAGGTGAGTTTGAAGCAGTCAAGAGTTTTCTTTTTTTTTTTTCTTTTTCTGGCATTACCTATTTCACGTATTTGTCTTTTAATTCACCTGTACGCTTAGCATATGTGAAAAGCACGGGAGTACTTACCTACAATGTTCACTGTACTGTCAACTTCATTTTTTATACTGGAGGACAGGAAATAGTCAGAAGTAACATCATTTAGCCCATTAATCCCAAAAGATGATTCAACTGGCTCTTGCTAGAATGAAAACAGTACAGTTGGGTCAGGTTTGATTTATTTTAGGAGCCTGGACTAAGTTCATCTCATTGTTCAGAGATGGCAATGAATCAGATTGCTTCTGCCTGCCCCATTCCCACTGTTCTCTGTTAGACAAAGTATCGGAACAAATAATTTGGTTCTGTGAAAAGCAGCCAGAGTTTACTTCCAAATTGTCAGCTTGGAAACTCCAGCTATTTTTCAATTTCAGATTTAGAGTGAGTCTTCTGGGAGCAAGAAATTAGTGTGCTATTTATTACAGGAGATCGACACTTAGAACAAACAAGGAAGAAACATTGCTTTCAAATGTATTCTATTTCATTTTCATCTTCATTCTCTTCCAAATATGCTCTATCTCTCAGCACTCTCTGAAAGGAAGCTCTAGCTTCAGTTTAACAATTACTAAATTCTAGCCTTAATTTTTCTCTGCAGCAAATCAAAGTGTGTACATCAAAAAGTGTTTACAGCCATTTAGATCACATCACAAACATTACCATAGGGCAACAGCACTGGGAAAACACCACCTGCTCTATATATACTGAGCTGCCCACAAGATGCATACTCTGTAGGTCTGGTACATTCAAAAGGGAATTGAAAAATCTCCCTTCAGACTAGACACCAAAAAAATGTTAATTCCACAAACTCAGGATTTCTTACAAAAGCTATCAACACTTTTAAAGAACTAACAACATGCCCAACCTTCTCCGTGGTATTGGCACCCATACAAGGTTATCAGATAGAAAGTCTAAAGCCTTCAGTTCTCATTCTGGGTGGGCAGTGCTGCCACTGAAACCTAAGTTCTGCATCAATGCTGCACTGATGGCACCTGCAGAGAGGTGCTGGTTTGATCTGTTGCCTTGGAATGCTCATATTCACTGCTCCAAAACAGTAAGTGCAGGGCAAAGGCGAACCTCAGGACTCCTGGTGCTAGCCCTCCACAGCACTAACTTTATGAAAGTTTATCGTGGGGACTGGGCACAGGCTGACATGCAGTTTTTAGATGCCACATGCAGTGACTGGGACCCATTCATTAAGAGACGTCCTTTGGACACACATCTGTGCTTTCCCAGCCCTCCAGCAAGGCCAGAGTGCAGTCACACAGCCTGTTCCCAGGCCCCTTTTTGCACATCAGAGGAGCGTAAGACAGCTACAGTGCTAATGGCACAAGGTCTTTGATGAATCCCACTGGTGGTGTCAAAGACCCAGTAAGCAGGAAAAGATAAAATTAGCTGCTATTGATCCATCCAGGCTCACTGACTGCAGACAGATGAGGACGCTGCACTGAAGCCACAGTGCTGTGCAATGCCCCAGCAAACACAACAGCCCCCATGGGAATGATGCTTGCACCATAACTTGCTCAGCTTTGCTGAGGCTTCATTACAGCAGAGTTTATTTAGCTGCCCTTTTCAGTAGCAGAAACAAATGCATATCCTAAAACCTAGGTGATGGAGCCAGGTCCACAAAGGGACGAGAATATCAGCACAGTTGGTGTTCCACCATTTTCAGTGTGTGAATGTCTGGAGGAAGCTGAGCTGAAAGGATGGCAAAAGTGTCACTTAGACTTAAAAATGATCAAAAAAAAAAAAAAAAAAAAAAAATCAGTGGACAGCTGCATACACTGTCAGAATTATGCATCTACCATAAGGTAGAGATTACGTCACACAGGCAGTTCAACCTTTACCTCTGTTTCAAAGGAAAGAGCCTATTCATGTCTCCTTGGACTACTCAGCTACTTCTGGCCTCTTTTCCATTTGCTGAAGAGCCCAGTGACCAGGTGATGCATCTGCAAGGTAGGAGATGTGCCCCCCCTAACTAGGTGCAGGCTCTCAACATCGCCAGGAGGGTCAAGGAAGGGAAGAGTCCTGGCTGAGCATCCTGCCCAAGCTCACCAGTCAGGCACGGGCAGGAATCAAGGCTTCACCAGCGGTATCTGGCAGTGCTCTTCACTCACATCAGCAGTCACCTTAGGAACTTGGGCACTCCCAGAATCTGGCAGAAGTGACATGGAGGAGCTCCATGTGAGGCTCTCTTACACTGAAGTCCCTTTTCTCAGACCCTTAGCTTCTCCCTCTCGGTGTTATCCCACAGAGGTCAACAGGCCGGTCATGGAGCAGCTACCCACCCATTTTCACTAAGCAGAGGTTTTCAAGGTAAGTGCAAGGCTTTTAACAAAAACCATGCAGCTCAGAATTCACATCACCAAGCAAAGAAATGTAAGCAGTTTTTTGTGTTCAAAAATGTGCATTTGCATTAACTCACCTGCTGTACAGTAAAATAATTATACAATAAAAATAATAATATCCCAGACATCACTGTGATACCCTCAGCAACTAGTATTTGTGAGATTCATTTGAATGAAGAGGGAAAGATTGTGCAGGTAACTCTGCAGTTTTTCAGGTATTTAATATTTGGACTAAAATAAAAGTAATGAACAAAGGGCACAGCAAAGTGCTGCAGCCAGCTTTGGAAGGCATCACGTGCTGCCCAGCTCTGACCAAAGGAGTTTACTGGATCCCTGGGAATCAGTCACATGATAACAATCTCACATGGCTACATAATCCATATATAATGGTTAAAAATTGGTAGCTCATAGACAATTTGAAATCACAGACAATTTATAAAGCAATATTCTGTCATGCAATTACACAAGTCACCATCACCAGAAGAAATTTTTGCCTTTCAAATCCAATTTTAATAAATGAATTTTCCCAGCCCTCAGTATCCATCTCTCTGCTTCATCGAGACATGAGAGCAACAGTCCTTAACAAGCAAGTAGCAGAGCACTGAGCTGTTGTCCTGTTACAGACATTGCTGTATGCTACCATGGGCTATGCTTTCAACGCTCAAATCCCCAGTTTCAGTGAAAGAACAAAGACTTCTGTGAAGCCAGAAAGCCTGGAAACTTTGCAATTTGCTTTATGAAAGCACTGATGTTGGACCAAATCCTGCTAGTATATTACACTGACCACCTCAGAGGGGCATCAGCGTAACTGCAGATGATAGGAAATACCATGTTTTGCAGGGAAAGTAAATGTGAGTTTGGGTCCATGTTCTCAACAAGAAAAAGTCCCATGCTGGCTGATGAGCTTTACAACTTTCTTCTGTCTTACAAAGCACGAGCAGAACACAAGGCTCTGACAGACTTCTCCCCCTTTTCTGAACAAAAATGAATTTCCAATGCCTTCTGCACAAAAAAAACCTAATTGCTTCAAAAGGTACTTCTATTGTTCTCAAGCATTGCTTCCATAATTACTGTATTTCTACTTACACAGACAAATGGCAAACATATTGCCAAAGCTGCCAGTTTTCCATCCTCCAGGCATTGCAACACACAAGGGCTGTGTCAACTGATGACGTCAGCTGTGGCTCTTCACATTTTAAAAGAAAACAAAGCTACACCAAAGTAACTGCAGCTACTTAACCAAACCAAAACCATGGGAGATTTGCAAATATCCACCATAAGATGCTACTGGGACTACTTAAAAAAACAATGGCAATAGACTATTTTCACAGGCTTTCAAACTACCAAACAGCTACTTCTTACCTTAATTTGTTTGAACTTGTCATCCTTCTCAGACTTCGTTTTTTTTCCTGCAAGAACAAAAGGAAGATTTCTTAAAGCCCTCCATAACATCAATCATCCTCCACAGCTTCTACATTCACTAAGAAAGTGAAGGCAAATGTGATCAAAATAGCAGCACCTCCTAGCAAAAGGAGAACTCCTTTTGCTTAGTTTCAAACCCATTTTAAATATTGGGCAGTCAAAATTCACCTTGAGCACAGGGTTTCGAGTTTCATTTTTGAAGGACCACAAAAAGCAATCTCAGTCAAAAAAAGCAAGGTGAAAAATATGAAAGAGTGACAAAGAACCAGGGACTGTTAGATGAGGAGGAAACTTCTCAAAGAAAAAGAATCCAAATACATATCTTGTCACACGTGAGACATCCTCACTGTACACAGTAACAAGAAAAGGGAGATTGTTCTTTTATTTAACATGTGAAAAGAGATCACAGGAAATTTCAACACACATTTTTGTAAATAGTTGCAACATAGGGAGGGGAATATAGATTATAATTTATGTCAAAGTGATTTATGCACTCATGTTGGATTGGAGAATTCGGAAGAAAACCTAGAGCATATGGCCCTCACCAAATCTCCTGTGCCTTGTAAGCCTCAGCATTGCTGCCCCTGCTCCGTCTTGAGGAGACCCTAACGTGGAAGCTCAGAGTTGCTGATGAAAGCTCTGCTCTACCCGCTCTTTGCACAGACGTGTCCCAGGAATTCCTCCCATCTCTACTACAAGATAGGGCTTAGAATTAAAAATGTTTGCAGACAAATTCTTTTGCCCTCACTCATACATAAATTTAGCTGCACGTCATGTAGGAAGGACAAATGAGAAGATATACAGGGGCCAAAAGATGTCAGTTATATAGTAGCTGGATTTGCTGTGGAATCTTCTTTTGCTATGACACAGAGCTCCAGAATCTCTGCTTTCATTCTGTACTGTTCTGGTTCTTAAAGCTGTGAGAGGAATCTGCCACAATGGGTCAGATTATGGTTCATGAATATATGCCTGCATGTACAAAACACAGCACAGATGAGAGATAGGAAACAGTTTCAAAGCAAATATTCTACTTTTTCCAGATTGATCTTCTTTTCATACTATGATTCTGCCCCCAAAACGCCCAAGTAATTCGTTTCCATTCACATCTTAAAATTAAGATGAGCTTTATACACCACAATTTTAAAAAACAGCAAATTGAGCTATACCAAATTTGATTTTAGAGGAACATCATGCAGAGGTACAACATTTGGACGCTAGGTTATCTTTTCAACTAATACATCTAGGCACTAGAAGATATCAGAGGAATGAGGAAGCCCATTTTCTACTCCATAAGCTGATAACAAAGCTAAAAAAATGCTTGCATTTCTGTTCAACAGAAACCAAATATTCCTTAGACTGACCTGGAGTTTAGGTCCTCTCCTGGCATGTAGGAGACCCACCACCTAAACTAAATCCAGGGAATTTAAACAGTTTCCCACTTCACCACTACCATGCTGTGCAGGAAAAGAGCACAGCCTTCTTCCTGCTTTTTTCATTGCCTAGGTTACCTACCAAAAAAAGTGCCTCTATGGTTTAATAAAGTGTTTCCCCAGGATGCCAAACTTGTGAGTTTGCTCCTTGTATAGAAAACCCAGATGCTGAGTTTGTACTCCCAGTTCCAAGTGGCAGCTGAGTTTAGTTCCTATGTCCCACAAAAACAGATTTTTAGTGCAGGCCATAGCTACACTTAAGAACATACTCTCCCTACTCAGATGAAAAGAGTGTGAGTTTATTTCTATCCTTGCTTGCAAAAAGATAGCAAAATGTCTGCTACCATATTGTGAATGAGCTTTACCGTATGAAATGTATCAATCTCTAATACTTCCCAGTCACTCTCCTGGACTGAAGCAGGCCCATTTATCTCACGAGAGACTCACTAGGACACCTCACACAGACTGATTTTGAAACCAGTGCCACAGATATTAAATATATAGGGGTGCTCCTTTGTGGTATTCGCAGCTTCCTCAACCCATATTTTAGTTCAGCACTGATATTAACACCTCCTGCAGGAAAGATTATTCCTGATTCAAGCTAGGGGCATTCATAACTCTGCAAATCTTCAGCTGTTCATGCTGTATCACTGCCTCAAATGAAACTTCAGCCATTTGGCAGCAGTTACTTGGCAGCCCCAAAATTCAAACAAGCATGGTACCTGCAATTAGCATCTGAATTCAGCTCTGTTGGCTTTAACAGAACAATCACCATTCTAGCAGCCCAGTACCCTATCTCGTTGATCTAGCAGCTCGTTCCCTTAATTGAATACAGCCCATTTTTCACAGAGACGTTCCTAAATTCCAGGGAACAGCTGGATGAAAAAGTCTGACTTTACAGCAGGAGAAGTAAAACTGGCACACTATACAGGCCCCGTGGTAACAATGCAACCAACACCATCAACTTCACACTCAAGCTCTCTCCTCTACCTTTTTTGGAAGGTCTTTCAGATAACGGCAGCATCCGGTACACCCTGAAGGCATTGTTTCCTTTCTTTATACTTTTGTCCTTCACTTCTTCTATATCAGGCAGAGAGTTCATAGCACACCGGAAGTTTGCCTTCCATGTCTTTGGGTCGGGTTTATCTACTCCTGACTGGTATTTTCCTAAGCAAGAGAAGAGAGTTAAGCATACATGATGCGTAACTGAAAACCTGAAGATAAACTAGTAACAGCATAGGTGAACTTCAAGGTATTGGCCTTTGGTTGTCAAGACAAGCATTCGAACAACAGGTGAGGTTGCAAGAGAAAGTGAATGTTGTGATCTGATTTTCATGCGTGTTTCCAGAACACCATTAACAGCTTCTGCCCAAGAAAGACCTAGAGCACTGCAGATCAGATGTAACTTTACAACAACATGGAAAAGCTTGCGCAGCATTTACCTTTATTAAGTCTGGCTCAAATCCATAGAAGCATATAAAAAGCACAAGGGACCAAGTCTACAAAGTGCTGAGCATGCTCTACTCCAAATGATTTTGAACCCTATCTTGTTAACATTTAAATCAATTAAGTTTTACTGTGCTTCTCAATGCAAATGAGTTACAGTCATTCAATAAAGCTGGAGATTACTGCAGACCTTGAAAAAAGCATTTAACCTCCCTCATATCTGGAAACTTCAATTCACTCTCTGTGTTAGTAAAAACAAAGACATGAAAGAAGGAAAATATAGATTTAAAAGGAAAACCAAGAGAAAATCTGTCCTGCAAAAAGAGAGTTCCAATACCTGTGTGAATTGCCCAGTTTCTAAATAAGGGAGCATCTTTTTCAACATCCCACCCATGTCTTGCAGCATGCATCCAGGGAATTTGAAAAATCTTCTTCTCCTGGAAGGGAAAACAAACAGGAAATGCCAATGTTGATCGACTTGATGGATTTTCTGATGATTTTAAGTCACTTATTTAAAAATGCAGTTCCAGCATCTGCGAGTGTTTTGCTTTCTTCTAACACAGTGCTGCTGTCACTGGGCTCAATAGGAAAACATCCTCTGGCGTCAGTGAAAGCAGAATACAGTCCATACAGTCCCAAGTACACAAGATACTCAGATGCCCCTTCACAGACTCTGAGGCTGGCAGCTTTCCAAGCTGACACATGGATAAAACATGCAATGCTAAACATTTCTAAACATTCAAACGAAGGCTAGTTTTGGCAGCACTGACACTCTCATGATTAGAAAAATCAGATATAAAAATAAACAACCATAAGAACCATAAGAGATAATTCAAGGGATTTAGAATTCAGTGAGAAAAACACTAACACGATGAAAGAAAAGGACATTTAAAATGTACCGGCCAGGCAAACAGGGCATATATCAAAACAAGACATCTCTGCAGTGGGGACAGAAAAAAAAGAAAATTGGAACACCCATGTGCAGGGATGGGTTTAAAGGCAGTTCAACTTCTTAGTTTAGAAAATTTGATCAAAGAGAAGCAGATTTAAAGCAATCAAAAGAAGGCTTGTTTGTCCTTTGTTTACAAAGCACAGAGTTAAACCAGGGCATGCCTTATATAGTGGAAGTTTATACTGACTCACAAAGAGACCAGAAAAAACTCATGGAAGACAGTACTGTCACTACTAAGGATGACAGATCTGAAGAAAAACCTGTGGGAGAATGTACTCTGGTGGCTGTTAAGGATAGCGAATTTGGATGCAGCTCCAACACTGGAAGCTCAACAGCTTTCAGCACTTGAACAGCACAGGAACAGAAACGATTAAATCCCTCCTGACATGTTTCAAATACTCTTTCCATTAGCATTTAGGCCCATGCCATCATCACAGATAGGACACTGGGCCAGATGGATGATTTCATGGGCCAGATGTGCTTTCGTGTCATATAACACAGCATAAGAACACTTCATGCTCATTTCTGCAAAGCCATGCAAAAAGTTTATGTTTCACAAACAAAATCCTCCTCTTGCAGAAGATGCACCTTAACCTGGCTTCAAACACTGACATATTGCACTTAAGTGCAACCTCTGCAGGTTTAGATTCCCTTCACAACCAGTGAAGAGAAAGGCATTTTCAGGGAACAATTTACCTCAACTCACCAACTCAATTACACCCCAAAAATGCCTATTTCCCTTCATTAACTGCAAACAACTGTAGACAGGCAGCCCTCATTTAAGCAACTGCACTGTGTAAGGTCAGGGAGAAGAATCCTTTGCCCTTCCCCTAGCAATAGCACTTCCTCCTTGTCTGTCTAGTTAATATTTCACTAATGTCAAAGTTAGGTTTACTTGTCTTCCTTTTTCTATGATCTTTGCTTTCTTGAGCATGTATTTTTTGACATCTTTCACCTCTTTTTTTTTTTTTAATCCTTTCATTTATATTCACTTGTTCAGAATTGCATTTTTCTCTCTTGCTTCTCTTAATCTTTTCCTTAATTTAGTAAATGCAGATTTAACATGATCTCTGTTCTCCTTCAAATTCTCATAAACCCACTCATTGTTAGGAAATACTCCTTCTCTGAAAGAGTGGTCAGGCACTGGAATGGGCTGCCCAGGGAGGTGGTGGATTCACCAGTCCTGAAGGTCTTCAAGGGACTTTTAGATATCGTGTTGAGAGATATGGTGTAGTGAGAACTATTGGTGATAGGTGGATGGTTGGACTGGATGATCTTGTAGGTCTCTTCCAACCTTGGTGATTCTATAATCCTTTTCATGCATTCTTGTTATTTATCTCATATGCCCTTTGCCATCTTACTCTTTTCCTTGTATATAGTTAAATCATCCTACAGAGGTGCTCCCCTCTCTCCCAAGTAGAAGAGGTATAATGGAAGCTTCAATCCCATTGTCCTGCAGTCCACACCACTACTGTATTCACTGGAGGTAGAATAAGCTCTATTGTCTTATCTGTCCTAAAGATGACAATCAGTATGGGGAAGGAAAAAAAAAAAAAAAAAAAAAAAATTCTATGAAAAAAAAAAAAAAAAAAAAAAAAAAGAAGTCCATTAAAAAACAGCAAAAAGAAAAATTACCAACAAGAATTGTAAGAAATGACTAGTCTAAAAAGTCATCTCACATTTGGTGATGGGAAGAAGTTTGAATGATGCTACACAGTGCTACAGAGGTTATACCACTGACTTCATATGCTGCCTGAAAATTCCAAAACTTATTTAGGAACTTGCATACTGAACAAGATTATAGATGTAGCACCATGTCACTGTCAACAGTACTCGCTGCTGCAAAGGAAGGTGCAAAGACTTTCCCAATAGCAGTCTAAGTGCTCATTACAGAAAATCCTTCCTAATACCATGTCTTGAAGCACAAGAACTTACAAGAAATTGTAGTATCAATAAAAAATATATATATAATCTACCTGTATCATCACCTCAAAATATACTTAATTTTGTGTCCAGAAACATTTTCTCATCAACTATGTAAATATCTAATCTTCTCTGAAATCCCTCAATACTGCTGATTGTAACAATCTCAAGTGGCTAAAAGTTCCACAGAATAAATGGTTGTTCTGCTCTAGTTTACCTAGATTCTCCCTATTTAAATACTATTTTTTCATTTCACTCATTATCAAACATTTTCTCATATCCCTCTCCATTCCTTCTTCATTAATAATGACTAATATGAAAGGGTCATCACTGCTTTTTCTTAGACTTGGAAAATAAAGTACTATTTTGCACAGCACTTCATCACCAGGCATTTCTGTAGGAGGCCTGTGTTTGTGCATAAAATTAGGCTCATCAGAGTCAAAAGCACAACCCACAAAACTGCTGCTGCATAACTGCTACCACTATCCAATGGGGATATCAAAAGGGAAAGAGGTATCACATTCTTAGAAATAAGCAGAAAGAGGAAAACAGTATTGAAAACTTGAAACTCTAACTGCAGAATGCTCCAAGCAGGTGAATGAGCATGAGATCAGACTAGTTAGGAAGTCATAAGGCAAATTTTAAATAGTGACCTCTGTTTGGATGGTAATACTCCAAGCAACCATCAAAGCAACGGGTTGCTTTTCAGCTCCTCTTACAGCTACTTTGCATGTTTCCACTCTAATTTCCTTTTCCAGACCCATGAGGGATGCTGACCTCACATTATCCTCCTCCTCATATCACCTCTGCCCTCTGCTGAACTATGTAACTTCTCTCATGCCTTCCAGTTTTGTCTCCCTGGGATGGTAAAGAAATTCCCTTCCTCCCTTCTGCTGTTCAGCAGGAAAATGTTTTCACTGAGGAGGAAGATAAGTATTTATTATTTAAGCCCTTTAGAGGAGGGAGTGTAATCTGGAGGGGAAAAAAAACAACCATCAACAATGCAGTGCAGAGCAAAGCAGGAGGTGTAGTGTGACTGACTGAGAGTAGGGAAAGGAAAGTCGTACATCGGCTGTTACCTGACTTATCACTGTTAACTGAAAGACTTAATTGCTCTTAACTCCCCAAGAAAAGACAGCCAATGACAAACTTAGATTGATACTCACTTCTTCAATATTTAAATCTTATTTCCTTAAAACTTGTGCACACATACACATGTCATTCTCTTGCTAATCTGCCCCATCTTCTTTTCTTTAATGAGAACCATACTTTCCTAACCTTTAATTAAAATACACCAATTCTGAAATCCTACAATTTCCAAAGTCAATTCTGTGCATACATAACATGCTTCAATAGATACGACATTTTATCAAAGATTCCACGAATAGCTTTGTTTATGGTCAGGATTTACAGTAAAAATATAAATATTTTTGGATTAATGATTCATCGTGGAATTAATTTCTAAGCATTTTTAAACAGAAACACTCAGAAGTGCTATTAGCTTGTTGATCTGGGTAAAGAACTGGCTGTGTGGCTGTGCCCAGAGAGTAGTGGTGAATGGAGGTAAATCCAGCTGGCAACTAGCCAGGAGCAGTGTTCCCCAGGAGTCACTACTGGGACCTGTCTTGTTCAGTATCTTCAGAAATGCTTCTCTAAAAGAGTGGTCAGGTGCTGGAGTGGGCTGCCCAGGGAGGTGGTGGAATCACCGTCCCCGGAGGTGTTCAAGAAATGGTTAGATGTTGTACTATGGGACGCAGATTGGAGGAGAAATATTGGTGGTAGGCGGACAGTTGGACTGGATCATCTTGGAGGTCTTTTCCAACCTCAGTGATTCCATGATTCAATGAAAAGCAGCTCAAGAGGATGCCGGATGTGAATGTAGAAGTGGAGAATCGCAATCTAATAAAGGTCAGTGCAGGCCATTTAGCCACTAATCCCTTAGTACAGGAGCAGTGTTTTCATACTGCAGAGCAAGTGCATGTTGGAGGCAATGCAACAAGTACATTCCCAGAGTACAGAGAAAGGTTACATGAACATAACCTACAGACAACAGCACTAAGACGCTAAACACTTAAGATGCTAAAATCTGAAATACTTTTCCTGCAGCTAAGCACAGATAAATGATTATAAATGATAAATGACAGAAACATTCAAGAAAGGACAGCAGAGATGGACTATCAGTAGGAGAGACCTGACAGAAGTAGAGACAGTAAAGGAGAAGAATTCTGAATGTGGTATTTAAATTATGAAGACAACAGTAAAATCTGTTCTCTTCCTCCTCTTCAACTATGACCCCATAATGCAAGAATAAGGACCTACTCAAATGCACAGGGCAGCTAACTTGGGAATGGATAAATAAATATTTATTTACCCAGCCACAGCATATGACAGTAACTAATGCACGTGTTCCTGAGAAACAAAATTTGCAAACTGAAGTTGACAGGACTGTTGTTAATTGTGTAGTTACAAGTATTTTTAACTTCGTAAACTGAAATTAAAAAATATCAGTCTTAGCTGTCATTCTCCAGTCTTAAAACTGAACATCTGAGTGCCACAACAACTACCATGGAGAGAATACTAGACTAACTGCACTAGAGCCTTAAACAGGATGGCAGCTCCCATATTTCTGCACCTACTTTACAGCATTTCCACTGTATTCATTTTGATAATAAAGTGGTTTTTGTTGCTAAAACTGCGCAATTCCTTTCAGCATGGTGAATAACTCTTCTGCATTGCATAATTCCGGGGTTTATTACAGCTCAAAGTCTCAAATACACTGTTTTACTGAATCAATTAAAAAAATGCAACCGGATTCTGATGTGCTTACAAAATTTCTAGCACTCTCACTATGAATTCTGGATAAGGAATAGTAAGTTGGGTCTGGTATAGGAAAAATTACCTGATTTTTTTTCTCAGATTCACTGCTTTAAGAAGTATCAGAGATTTCATACAAGTCTGAAAGAGATCATCACTTCAACTCAGAGGTTAATGCAGAACACAACATTACATCTCAGATGAGCATTTTGTTCAAAATCCCTCTGACACTATTTGGTAAGCAATTTGTTCCAGCTAAAAAACTTAACAGAGTCTACATTTTTTTTCCACCAACAAAGGGTCAGAGGAGGAAAATGCTTATAAACAAGTCACAAATCTAACAGGCAAATGCAAAGAGCTTCAGATCTGGAACGTAAGGCCAGAAGAACAGGTTCAGCAGGAAGCATTCAGCGTTGCCCCTTTCAAGACTAAGAACACGAATTTACACTGCTATGAAGGACCACATTCACACACACGTGCAGGCGTGCTTGCACAAACACACCCCTTACCTTATTTAGCCATTTCAGCCCTGGTATTGTGTTAGAATTTATTTGTTCTTCCAGCCACGGGCGCATCCGCATTCTTTCGACAGGCATTGTTACCTGCACTGGAAGGAGCTGAAGGGAACAAGGGACAATGTTACTTGTTTTCCTGGCAGCACTCAGTACAAAATACACACAGACCTACTTATTAGCAATTTGCAGGCACTTAACAATCATAATACTGGCTTGGGATCTGCGTAGGAGACTCCCATAAGAGCAACTGAGATGATAAGACTTTCTCCACAGCAGAAAGTGATACATCTACGTTAGTAAACCCGTCACCTAAAGACACATGCCAATGGCAACAGCTCTTCAAATGACACGCAGGATACCACAAAGAAAATCAGTTGTCCTCCTGCAGAGATCTCTTCCATTGGCCTATGCTGCATTTGCTGAATACACTTTTTGCCAGCAAGAGAAAACAACAAAACCAGCAAACAAAGCCACACAGGAAACATCTCTGCACTAGCCATAATTATATATCTACTAACTAGAGTGTTTTCAAATGGCTGCTTCTGTTGCACAGACTTGATTAAGATAGCAAAAGCTGTATTTTTCATCACAGTACTTCATTAGACAGCTTGGCTCTGGTTGTGCACTACGATCCCTTCCCTCCAGATTTATCTGATTGACTCAGCCACTGATTTTTTCTTAAACTACATTTCAATAGTGCTTAGCTAGGAAAGGAGCACTCTGCAGCCCCGTCCAGGGGGGGACATACCAGGACATGTTATGTTACTCAGCTAAGGCTCCAACCGTCCTCTTTGTCTCTCTCTCTCACACACACACAAGCACACGTGACCCTGATGCACTTCCCCATTTAGAATGGTGAATTATTGACAGAAGAGTCCAAAGTCTTGAAGCTAGGACAAATAATTTTAAAAACATTAACCTATCTCAAAGTGCCAAGCAGCACTAGATGCAGATTAAAGCGCTGCATAAAACTCCTGCTAACCAGCCTGCAATCAATCATTTCCACATTCAAGTACTTGCATTTGGGCTGCTTCTTCTCTCCCCCACTACACCAGGCTCAGCTCCTTCCTCTCTCCTTTGTTCTTCACAACTGCATTCTCTGCATCATTCTTAACTTCTCTGCTCTGCTATTCTTGTCACCTTTGATCTTTAAAAAAAAAAAAAAAAAAAAAGAGAAAAACAAAAAGACTAGGCAACACATCTGAAAGCACACAGCAGTGACACAAATGTAAATGTGTTTGTTCTTTTTTCCTATGGGATTACGGGCAACAGACAGACTAACAATCAGGCAGCACCAAGCCCACACCCAGTACAAGAGGAAGAAAAATGTTCAAAGTTTCCTCTCATTGCTCTGAGGACATGTATTTCCTGAAACTAACAAGGAATTAAAACCTGAGTGCAACAATAAGGTGCTGATATGTTTCCAGGGACCAAAAAGGTCTAAAATAGCTTAGAAAATGCTTGCCATTGCTCAGCTCACTTTCAAGTTCACTTTACACATAAGAAAGCAGACAACCCTGGAGCCCAACAATGGTGGAATGCTCCTGCAAAGCCCCAGTCTGTGCAGGAGCAAAGTTCTTTTCTAAGTGACAGTGACACAGAAACACAGAATCATTAAGGTTGCAAAATACCACTAAGATCATCTAGCCCAACTGTCAATGTAGCTAAAATGCACTATTCCCTCTTCAAATATGCAAGAAGTACAAGCACTTTTTTACAAAGCAGATGCAACCAGGCCCCAGAAGCCTTTCCAGTACCAACTATCCTGTATGGAACACTCAGTGCCACTTCTCACCTATCAGGCTAGAGTCAGAGTTGAAAAATGCAAATGACCATACTAAAGTGCGAGTGCATTTCTATTCAGATGTCAAGGAAGAAGCATGCAGATGTGACCAGCATCTTACAAACTTTTCTTCTTAGGACTTTTCCAATATATATACACTCCGAGACAAGTCAAGGAAACAGTACGTATCACTTCAGATTTCAATTTGTAAGTGCGTGCACAGGATACATCCTGTGTTGCGGCTAACAAGCCTCTAAGACAAATGTCAAGCCTATCTGAATGAAGTAGTTACACAAAAAGCAAGGAAGTAACCTCTAAGGTAGCAGCAGCAAATTCCATTTCGGGGTGAAAAAAATAAAAGCTGCCGTTGTGAAAAAGTGATGCTTTTCAGGAAGGAAGAAACTGCTGACACCACTGCTACAAGGAAGGAGGCCTTGCTCAGAGACAAGGTAGAGACATTTATCTCACCCCTCTCACGTCCCCAGGGGCCCTACCAGCTGTTCCCTACAGATGCTCATCTCCTTCCCAGTGCCTGGAGCCCTCTGGAACCAGCACATAATCCACAGCCAGTAGCACACACCTTCACATCCATCACCTGCACCTTTTCAAATTCCTCAGCGCTAAGCAGAAGAGCAGTTTGGCTTGTGAGAAGGGAGGAGTGGCTTCCAAGATCTGTTTATCTGAAAGTAAAACCAAAGCCAGCTAAAAATAACCAGTGGTGATGTCCAGCTGGAGGGAGTTGTAGGCATCTTCTGGGGAGCTGTATTTCACAGAAGGGCAAACGCAGCATGTGTGCATTCATCAAAACATACCCTGTGCTCTTCAATGACCACGAGCTGAAGAAAATAAAGCCTGACGTTTTCAGAACGCACTCCCAGACCCTTCTGCCTTGGGACAGCACGGACCATAATGATGCTAAAATGCAGTGGTTTTTTGGCAGCCGTACGTCAACATCTCTGCAATGAAAATAACCAGTCAGCTCTATCTAGCAATTGTCTGTGTGAAATGAAGGTGCCTCATCTTCCCTCCAGGGCTGTCATACATGTGCTTTGCTTGTATAGTAAGACTACAATTCCACAATGCCTCAAAAAGTAACCTCTGTATTTCACCACTGCCTTCCAGAATGTGTGACACAGTTTAGAGGCAGGCTTAGCTGGTGCACCTGGGAGTCTCATGACGATGGCTCCTTTCTGCACTATTTTTGTTGTTGCCTTCACTGTCAGCTTGAAATCCAACCCTCCACGAGTGGTGGCACAATCACCTGCCGTCAGTTGTTGCTCGAGTTTCTAAAGATCTCTACAATTCCCTTAAACAGACAGCAAAAGCACGCTGAGTTTCACTAGCCATCACTAAACATCGTCATCTTCGCTCTACATTAGAGTATGTTAATTATGAAGCAAATACAAAGCCAGAAATGAGGGTGAGCCATACAAAAACACAGGGCACATCAAGGCCTCTCACTCCCACTTCTCTCTGGTGTTTACCCATAAGAAAGTAAAAAATGAAACAATGAATCCTTTTAAGGAGAACGAAACATTAACATTTAGAGTGTGAAGCAGGCCTGCAACACCAGGAGTGCCTCTGCACCTACGGCCCACTGCCCATCAACCTTCACAGTGCACTTCCCCTTCAGACTTACACTCCTGAAGTCACAGCTACATGTAGGTGCACGTATTTTGTGCTCTGAGACTGCCTTCAGCTCCATCTCAGTCTCATCATGAGCCAAGCTTTTTCTCACCCAGATGGCTTTGTGAACAAGATGAGGAAAATACCAGGGTTGCAAGAACACCTTTCTGTAAGGTTTGTTCAGTCGGCTGAAGCTCAACCAATGCTCTCATCCAGCAGAGAGGGAAGTGCACTCCAGCATGAGAGCATCTGGAGAGGACAGGTGACATCCCCAGAATCCAGAACTGCTAATGAGGACACTGTGCTTTCAGACCACAGCTTCAAATTTGGGCTGTACTGACCTCTAGCACCTCTCTAGGGAGGGCTCAGGAAAATACTCAGCATTTCCAGAGAACCATGCTGAAGTCAAGCTTTCTGGCATGACACTGAGAATAATTTCTGTCTGTTTTTTCTTCTGGTTTATAATTGTCCTGTGGTGGGGGGAAGGGAGAAATAAAAGCCAAGAAACACAATCAACTGCTAATGCAGATGGGACCCTGGAAAACATTTTTCTATCCTACAAGAAAAGGAGAACTCATTTAGACACGAAAGTAGGCCTGCCTACTGGGAATTCACTTTGTCAACATTTGACATTCTTAACAAGAAAGCACATCAACAAGAACCACAATTTGTAACTATACATCTTAGAAACATATTAAGCTTGATAGCTCTGTTAATATACTTTCCCTTTTCTTGCAGCATTTTCATCAACGACATCTTTCTTAAAGAGAGCCACAGTCAGGGGCTGTTGACTTAGCTGTGGGAGCTGGAACATACTGACTGACATTATTTCAGAACAGCCATTACCCTTCACTCAGTGACGTAAGCCTGTGGAGAATAATAACAGTACAGTAGCACTTTACAACAGCACTATAGCACTAATATTGTAGTAGTATAATAATAGTAGTTTGACCACTTTTGAAGGTTTGTGCTAGTTCTGCAGACAGGTCCGACTTCTTTTTGCAATTAGATACTATGAAAACACAATGGAACCTCCTCTCTGATAAGCCATAAATTGTCTGAATCCCACAGATCCAACAAGAGAGATCCAACACAGAGAGTGTTATGACAGAAAGAGTTATGGAAGAAAGACAGGGCAAGTTGCTGCAGTCTGGACAGCACAACCCACCTACGAACACAGAATCCTGGAGGAGGCCAGCCAGCAACACAGCTTCTACTACAACACATTGCACTGGAAAATTTCTACATGGGAATTGTAACCAGGGTCAAGCATACAAGCCAACCTCTCAAGAAAGACAGCTGAAGGAAAAGAGACACAACAGTGTACAAAACCAAAGCACAGGTGTAAGTGCTCTTACGAGCAGTGATACAAAGAGCATTGAGCAAGTAGCTGTCACTACAGCTTCCTCAAGACATAATGTTCTATTGAATTTCAGCTCCATACTTCTTCCTAAGATGTGTTTTCCCAACATTCTTTATGTAAGACTCTTTAGAAGGAAACCTATAGCACTTGTTTGTTTTTGAAAAGATATTTGTAAAGTATTAGTTATTCTCAAGAGATATTTCCCTTTTAAGAAATATTAGAAAAGCTATAAATGACAGTTGGGTTACATTCTATCTATCCTCACAGCTTTAAATATTTTCACTGGCAACGCTCTACAAACATCTCCTAGCCCTTCCTACTATATGCTAAGACACACAAGTAATTTCCTTGATACTAGATAACAAGGAAATGACACTACTGACATATAGAAAGCATAACCTTTGAGAATGAAGAGCTCCTCAGGAGAATTATGGTAGTTGTAGAAAGAAAGTGAAAGGAACAGCAGAGCATGTAGGAAGTCTGAACAGCACAAGATGTTTTATTCCCTTCCGTTTTGCTCTGACAGCATCTGGATAGCTGAGAAGTCACAAAGGTTATCTCCAAACTACAGATTGCTCTGTGCCTACAACAAGTATAGTTTTTGAACTTATCTCTATGGAAGCAAAATAAATATATGAATAAATAAATAAACAAAAATGGAGAAAGCAACCTTTCTTTTCCCATAACACAGTAAAAATCTGGATATGGAAGTACAGTTGTGAGAAGGCAAGGTGAGGTAAGGCACTTGAGGTGTATTTGCGACATAGGTCACAGCCTTTCCCCAAAGGTATGAAAAAACATCTGTTCCCTAGAGGACTTGCGCATAGTATTGCATGGGATCTATTTATCTTTCCTCTGTGAGCAGAGAATTGACAATATTTAAAATAATAATAATAATAATAATAATCTGGTACCAGTTTTGCTGATAATCTTTTAAAGCATTCCCTTTGCTTCCTAACGCTGGTGCACATCAGAAAAGCATCAATCACTCTGTGTGACCAAACACATGCTGAAATGAGAGCATACACTAATTTTAGGATTCAGGGAACTGGGTTCTGTATTTGTCTACGCGCCAAGACTGTTCAGGGATACAAAGAAACATGATCTTATTCTGACGACCAGCACTTAAAAGCAAAATTCTGTCCCTTGGTCACAACTTGGACTCTGCCTTCACACAGCATTCTGTGTGTACGGACTCTGAGCAAGCCTAGCTTGGAAGTCACCCTATTCAGAGATATTTCCCTGGGTAAGAAAACCTGTTCATGTGACCTGGCCAGAAGTACTTCAGAAACATAAACAAGATTTAAGTTGAAATACACGTAACTGAATTCAGACATCTGAACTGCGTCGAACTGCATCCTACAAGAGACCTCCA